CGGCAGAGCGGGGCAGCCATTTAAATTTAAATGAAGCCGCGATTATTTAAATCGCGGCTTCATTTCCCTCTGCTGATCTGTCTAATCTACATGCCTCTGCCGACAGAGGCATGTAGTCTAGACGCACCCCTGGTGTCTCTGAACTGCCAAATGCAGCAGTGTTGAAGGCTGCCGGTGAGGCTCAGGTGATGGTATCTGTCTCATGGGAGTTATTCCTTTAAAGATTTCATGGAAACATTGTGGCTGTGTCTAGACTGGCAAGTTTTTCCGCAAAAATCAGATGATTCTGCGGAAAAACTTGCCAGCTGTCTACACCGGCCACCTGCACTGGCCGCATGAATATCCGCAAAAGCACTCACTTCCTACTGTCTGAAATCAGTGCTTCTTGCGGAAATACTATGCTGCTCCCGTTCGGCCAAAAGTCCTTTTGCGCAAAAGGGCCAGTGTAGACAGCTCAGATTTGTTTTCCGCAAAAAAAGCCCCAATCGCGAAAATGGCAATCGGGGCTTTTTTGCAGACAAGCACGTCTAAATTGGCACAGATGCTTTTCCACAAAAAGTGCTTTTGCGGAAAAGCGTCCGTGCCAATCTAGACGCGCTTTTCCGAAAATGCTTTTAACGGAAAACTTTTCTGTTAAAAGCATTTCCGGAAAATCATGCCAGTCTAGACACAGCCTGTGAGGGCTGGAAATGGCTTAGTGGGTGGGGCACAGGACAGGCCCTCAGGAGATGTGAGCTTGCTGATGGTTTGGGCAAGTTGTAACTTTCGCGAGCCGCAGCTGGCCTGTAGGCCCCTTATTGCCCAACCCCGATTTAAACACATGCTTAAGTATTCTCCTAGATCAGAGGTAACAATCAGGAAAAATGTTAGGGGCTGAAATATGGATTAGGTGCCTAGCTTTTAGTTCTGTGTGTATGTGATGTCTAGCACTATGGGGCCCTGGTCTGGACAAGGGCTTCTAGACATTACTGTAATAACTAATACTAGTAAGATGATAATCATACCTTCAAGTCACCTATGTCCTTTGAATGATACTAGCCGAAATCTACCCACACACCCTGCCTTGCTATTCTGTATAACTCTTTCCTGATATATTTAGGATAGGCTAATCACAGTGCATTTCACTGAGCCACACATAACACATTGTCCACATTCTCCTTATTAAGACGATCACAAATAAGAGCAACTTTTTGTAAATGGTAATTCACACAGACCTAGGAAATGATTTATCCTGGAACAGGAGACCAGAAACATGAGCTGACATGAAACAAGTTTGCTTGTGAGAACCACTGAA